AATATAATTTCTGAAGTTATTCATTTAGTGTTATTATATGATGTAAAATGATCAGTTTTTGTATTTTAAGATTTTCTGTTTGTTTCTGATTATGAATTGCATTGTGGGATGTTGATCTCTGCTCTGTTGACATTCGATGTAGAAAAATCACACTGCAGTTTAACAATGTGTCATATTGACATTTTAGTAGTTTGAAATAATATATTTTAATATATTGTGACACCCGTCCAACTGCTTGTTAACACATTTCTAATCAGCCAATCACATGGCAGCAACTCATGCATTTAGGCATGTAGACATGGTCAAGACAATCTGCTGCAGTTTAAACCTGAGCATCATAATGAGGACGAAAGGGGATTTAAGTGACTTTGAACATGACATGGTGGTTGTTGCCAGACAGGCTGGTCTCAGTATTTCATAAACTGCTGATTTACTGGGATTTTCACGCACAACCATCTTTAGGGTTTACAGAGAATGGTCCGAAAAAGAAAAAAATATCAGTTCTGTGGGTCCAAAGCCTTGTTGATGCCAGAGGTCAGAGGAAAATGGCCAAAATGGTTCGAGCTGATAGTAAGGCAACAGTAACTCAAATAACCACTCCAACAACTGAGGTATGCAGAAGAGTATCTCTGAACCCACAATAAATATATATATATATATATATAACCCACAATATATCGAACCTTGGGGTGGATGGGCTACAGCAGCCAAAGACCACACCGGGTACCACTTCTGTCAGCTAAGAACAGGAAACTGAGGCTACAATTTGCACAGGCTGACAAAAATTGGACAATAGAAGTTTGGAAAAAAGTTGCCTGGTCTGATGAGTCTCGATTTCTTCTGCGTCATTTGGATGGTAGGGTCAGAATTTGGCGTCAATAACATGAAATCATGGATCCATTCTGCCTTATATCAACGGTTAAGGCTGCTGGTGGTGGTGTAATGGTGTGGAGGATATTTTCTTGGCACACTTTGTGCCTATTAATACCAATTAAGCATTATGTAAACGCCACAGCCTACCTGAGTATTGTTGCATGTCCATCCCTTTATGACCACAGTGTACCCATGTACTGATGGCTACTTTCAGGAGGATAATGCGCCATGTCATAGAGAGCAAATCATCTCAGACTGGTTTCTTGAACATAACAGTTCACTGTACTCAAATGGCCTCCACAGTCACCAGAACTCAATCAAATAGAGCACCTTTGGGATGTGATGGAACAGGAAATTCGCATCATCGATGTGCAGCCAACAAATCTCCAACTGCGTGATGTTATGTCAATATGGAACAAAATCTCTGAGCAATATTTCCAGTACCTTGTTGAATCTATGCCACGAAGGATTAAGGCAGTTCTGAAGGGAAAAGTGGTGCCAACCCGGTACTAGTAAGTTGTACCTGAAAAAGTTGCCGGTGAGCGTATATTAGTCTGTAAAATAAGAAAATCTGAAAAATAAAAAAACGCCAATCCAAACAATGTATCGCTTCTAAACCAATATAATGTCAATAAACGTGACTTTTTAAAAAGTTTTAACACCGAACATTGTTAAATAAAAGTTCAAGGTCCCAAAACAATTATTCAATTATAATGTAGATATAATACAAAATACAGATGTATTTCTACAGTATGGACAACGATTAAGATAGTCTGACCACGGTGCCTAATAAGACACTGCCTATTTTTCTTTCAAATGAAGATTTTTTTTTGCATGATGTTTTGCATAACTGCATATATTTGCGTCAGTTTATGGTATATCATTATATGTACAGTACTTTCACATTTACTCATATTGTGCTATATCTATCATATGGCTCAATGAAACCGATACAGTCCTGGTAAATGATGTTCAAACCATCGACCCCTCCTTCACGAGCCTTTTAGGGTCTGCCCAGAGTACTTGCTGTGGTAGAGAATGGACAGATCAGCTCAGCCATTTCACATTCACTGTAAACTCTGCAAGCGTGACATCACTGCTGCTTTAACGAACTGCATGATGTGCTCTCTCTCTCTCTCCAAGGCCTTGTTAGTCCTGTTTTGTTCAAAGTGTTGTCATTATGGGTCCTGTCAGAGACTGTGGCCTGCACTGCCCATGAACAGCAGGCTAAACATTTAGTGGCGTTAAGAAAACAATAATACAGGACCACACAATGTGGTGCAGATTCTACGTTTCAGATTGGATGTTATAAAGTGGTCTTTAAATTGGTTGTTAAAGGTCCCCTGAAGTGCCATGGAATGCACAGCTTTGTTCGATGTGAGATGTAATTTCAACTGAAACAAAAAGAAAGCAGCAAGGCTCATTGGAAATGCATGCATCAGCCTACATGTTTTTGTGAAACTTTAAATGTGTAACTTCTGCATGGGTTTGACTGCACTGCACTTTTTCACACTAAAGATATTTATAATATTAAGGGACATATTGACATATAAAGGTCATTAAAACATGCAAAACATTAACTTAATACCACCCACCACCTTGATGTACATCATTTGTAATTGAATACATTTGCCTCAAGTGTCTATCTCTGTATGTCTTTTCTGGTGTTTGCAGTGTTGGGGTCTACACAATTTTACAAGTGAGATAAAAGCAATGTAATATAAGGGTATAACTATGACATCGAAGTGCATATTTCTATTCTATTAGGGAAGTGGTTTAGGTCATTTGTTCTCTTAAGCCTAGTTCACACTACAGGATTTTAAACATCAGCAGATCGCTGTGCTGTTCACACTACATGACTTGACTTTGTGTCTTTTGATCTCTGTGGTGTTCACACTACGCAACACTCCGTGAACGATCCACAAGAGGGGGGTCACACACTACATGATCAGACAACAACTCATTCCCCATCAGCTCATTCAAGCTACCAAACCACAGCCAATGAAAATTTGAGGGAGGAGTCGTCAGAAAAAGTTGAACACTATTGGCTGCTTGTGTGCTGATTACATCACTGACAGCTTTTCAAGCTTTGGAGAAAGCATTTAAAAACATCGTCAAATCAGCTGATTTATGAGCGGATTAATCACTTATCTGCAAGGTTCCAGTGGATAGATGCACAGAGAGTTTTTAATTTTTGTAATTTTATAACTCTTTGAAATAAAACTAACATATTTATAACACCCTGCCGTTTTCTAACTATCAGTGTATTTCTTTCTGACATTGTTATTTTTTTTATTACAAAACAGTAAAGAACTGAGCATTTCTGCCTTAAATTACCATATTGGTTAAAATAACTGCATGCATGTCTGATACTTTTCGCTGTGACTTTAAATATGTGTGCATTTTCTTGCCTGGCAACTTCCTGCTAACATAAACAAAACTTTCTGATGGCAAAAACATCAATTTACTTCAGATATCTTTCAAAACAGCAAATTCTGTGCTGTTAAATAGCTCCTGTTTGAAAGTGAAAATGAAAGCCAAGACCTTTAAGTGTTTTAGTATCTTAACTACATATTTATAGGCTGTATTACCAAAAAAATATTATATTTTTAGGGTAATGGTGTCATTAAATATGATGCCAGACATTCAAAGCTTAATTTTAATATCTCAATAATAGCTTTGAATGTAAATATGTTGTGACAATATGGCGTTTCATATGAGAACGATCAGAATGAGCAGTATGGTAATTCTAATAGTTACAGAATTCTAGTTCCACTGTTAATATAGTCTACTCTCATGTCTGTGTTAACACAAAATGAAGCGAGTACACTGATGCCCATTCTGACCAATCACAGATGTTTCTGCTGAGCTCCTGAACACACAGCCATTCAGCTCATGCTGATATGCTCTCTCATTGGCTGTAGCTCGTCACTACATCTGACCACACGTGGGGTTGAGTCGGCCGACTGCTCTGGAATATTTAGCATGCTGAATGTTGGATTTCCGTCTGCGAGGTGTCGGCGACGCGTCAGCGAGCCTCGTTGATGCGTTGCTCAGTAGTTCACACATAAAGAGCGGCGAGCGCCGTGCACCCGCAGATTTCTTCCCGATCACAGCCCGATCTGTCGGCGAGCTCGTTAACTTCCAAATCGGGCTCAAATCAGGCTTAAAATCCTCTAGTGTGAACTAGGCATTAGTGATCTGTATGACAAGCCCCAAATTTTCATGTACAAGAAGGAAGTGTTTTTGAGACGTACAACAAATTGTACCCCAAGTTGGAGCCCAAATTATATGGGTTTTTGGGGCCGATGTTGATATCAGGTAGTAACAAAACGGCAATAACGATATATCGGCCGATAATCTTCACATCCATATTAGAGTATCAATCAAAAGGACACTTACCCATTCGTGTGTACCTAACATTTTGACTAGTACTGTATAGCATAGCAAACAATGGAATCTTTTCTGCTGTTGCTGTTCTGCAAGTAATTATTACATTTCAATAACTTTGTTTGTGTTATACGTTCTGTGAAGTAGGTTTTAAACAACAATCATATCTCTGGCAAATTCACCAATATCAATACATCGTTGAGATGCTCATATCGGCTGATAAAATTGGCGAAGCTATATATCGTTAAGGCTCTACCTCAAGTAGCACATTACACATAAACATTGCCCTCTAGTGTATTTTAAAAGTGCAACGAAACATACCTCACGCAGCATTTCACAAAAATATAGAAATAATTTTTTGTGATGAATTTTTATCATTACATAAAGAAATTCAAGGAAAAACAGCCTTTTTTAATTATTGCTCCTCCATTTAGATTAGATTTTATTATTCATGTCTTGTAAGGGGTAGGGGGCTTCAGATTCTAAAGAGCATTTGATTGGTCAGAAGATCTCTTGAGAAACTGAAATATGAGCTAATGTTATAAAAACATTATTGATTCATTTCTGGCTAAAGTGACAAACTGCATGTTTTGAATGCTTATATCTTTTAAACATAAATTTTGGAGCCCACTTGCTATTAGCTAAAGATAACTTTAAGAAATCATTGATCCTAACAGGCAAAAAGCCTTTTCATTTGATTTTAGAGAGACTATAAACAATGATTTTGTCTTTTGCAGAGGGAGTTCCTCAGGTCTTCTACTTCGGGCCTTGCGGGAAGTACAACGCTATGGTTCTGGAGCTGCTCGGGCCCAGTCTAGAGGACCTGTTTGACCTCTGCGACCGCACTTTCTCCCTCAAGACCGTCCTAATGATAGCTATTCAACTGGTAAGCGTCCGGTCAGAGAGCCACTTAGCCTCCATCAGCAATTTTGGCTTTGTCTTATTACACATTTAGGAATTCTTTTGGCTCTTTTCTAAATGATTTCTAGGAATCGTTCAGCTCTGTCATGCTTTTATTTTTTGTCCTCAATTACAATCTTACTTGTTTTTTCAGATAACACGGATGGAGTTTGTTCACACACGAAGCTTGATATATCGAGACGTCAAGCCAGAGAATTTTTTAATGGGGCGGCCGGGGTCCAAGAGGCAGCACACCATTCATATCATCGACTTCGGGCTTGCCAAAGAATACATAGACCCCGAGACCAAAAAACACATCCCATACCGAGAGCATAAGAGCCTTACTGGCACTGCCCGGTATATGAGTATCAACACACATTTGGGAAAAGGTGTGCATTATAAACCTCTCTTTACATCTTCTTTCACTTTCCCATGTGTAGTTTGTTTTAAATTTAATGCTTTTTTGGCTAAAGAGGAAAAATAATAAATCAGCAACTCAGCTTAAATGACATACTTTCATTTTCCTGAGTGACTCATATTTATGCAACCCACTTAATCATGTAGTTTAAAAATCATATCTCATTTTACTGTGAAAATGTACCTGTTGCATCTGTCTGTGTGACACATAGCATTTGTTGTTTTTCTTCCCCATCAGAACAAAGCAGAAGGGACGACCTAGAAGCACTGGGCCATATGTTTATGTACTTCCTGAGAGGCAGTTTGCCCTGGCAGGGCTTGAAGGTTTGCATTTTTTTCTTTTTGCCTCCTCAACGTGTGTTCATCATTTCCTGAAATTATTTTTTTCATTTTCATTTTTTCCCCTCCTGTAGGAGTGTTTTGAACTTGTGACTTTTCTTGTCGTGTTATTAAAGTAATCCACGGGTTCGAGAGCTTTTTGTTGCACATTTACGCTACTGCACAAAAGAACATGAATTTGCCTGCCTACTTGAATGATGCTTACCAAGACTACATTGGTAAAAATACATATTTTAACAAATATAAGGAATAAAATAATATTCTAAAATATTAATGAGCCATTACTCCTGTCTTTAGCATCACTAGACACTCTAAAATATTACTATGATGCTAATTTATTGCTCAATGTTTTATTTTATTATTATTAGTGCTGTTTTAATGGTTGCACAGTATTCTTATGAATAAATATTGATTTATCATTAATATTATTAATATCAATATCATTAATTACTTCAAGGTTTCTCATATTTTAAGAATTTTGACTGGCTTGATTATTTCTATATTTTAGTTCTTCATATATTTATATTATTTAAATAAATCATACAATAAATATAATAGTAGTAAAATAAAAATATATATTTTTTATTTTTATTTAATTTTGTTTTTGTTAAACATGTTAAATATGAAATATGCAGTAAATAGCTTTTCACTCTTACTTTTTTTTTCTAAACAACACACAAACAAAACACACACATGCATACATTATGGGTCTATACAAATATATTAGTAATATTAAAATAAAATACAATTAAATAAAATTATTAAGTAAAATATATATATTTTTATGTATAAAAGAAAATAAAACTAAATAAAAAAAAAAAAATTTTAAAACTATAAGTAAAAGTTTTGTTGTTCTAAAATAACTGAAGGGTCCATCTTCTTTATGTGATCTAAAACAAGTTGCCAAGTTAGAAAAAACATATCAGTACAACCTTCTACAGTATATCGCGAAGGCAATTACATTTATCTTACTTTTGTCAAAACATAAGGACTGTGGTGTAATACCAAATATTGAAATTATGGTCTCAGGTTGTAAAAGTATTTAATGCATCAGATTTAAATTTTATATAAATATTAGCTGCCAAAGTTCCTTTAGTTTTGAACAAGACCAAAACATGTGAGAGTGTAGCTGGCTCAACATTACATCAACCACAATTAGGCTCTATGTATGGTTTACATTATGCTAGTTTCACTTTAGACCAATGTAATTTGTGTTACTTTAAATTGTATAACTCTGTGGGCTCTATTTTAATGATCTAGGTGCAAAGTCTAAAGCGCATGGCACAAACGCATTAAGGGCATGTTTAAGTGGATTTGCTGTTTAAACAACATGACACAAAATGTGAAAATTAGGGTTGCGCTGATCTAAAAATAGCAACAAATCGTGCCAAACACGTCTTGTGCCATATTGCTGCAGGTATATGATAGGACCCCTATGTTTTAAACAAATTGAAGAAGATTGAATATTATCTAAAACAGATTGCCACGTCTTCTGACAATTCTATCTCCAGCTCCACCTCTCATTTTCTTTTTAAGTGCACTAGGGGTTCAAAACAAAAACTTGAACAAACATACTAAAATGTATAGATAGATGGTTGCTAAATGTTTGTGTTTAAAGAAGCATCGATTAAAAAAAACGGAAAAAAAATCTTCCTGACTCCAAATTTGTCAATGGTGGTGTAACTGTAAAACAATGGTGGTGTAACATTAGTGTGATGACATGGCAACAAATGGTGATATCAGCTGCTCGTCTTGTACTTGAGTTGCTCAGCCATGTGTCATGGAGTACTGAGTCACATGAGCGAAGCGCACACAGGTGTCAGAAGCTCAACGCTTGCCATGAGGTGCTGTCTAACACATCATTGTTAATTCAGCACTCCAGTAGATTACATGGAAGCCACATGACAAAGGGGTCAGAGTAAAAACAGTTAAATGTAAAAGAGAAAAAAAATAGTAAAATGTTCTCCTTTTGTGTGTGCGTCATCGCTTATTCAATAAAACTAGCCAGAGGCAAAATCTTGCCCCGGATTTGTGTGCTGCATATGCTTAATTACATCTCAGCCACTTTGTCTTTTATGAGGTGTTTGTGGGTGGGAAATGATATTTGTGTTTCCAAACAGGCGGACACATTGAAAGAACGCTACCAGAAAATTGGTGACACCAAGCGAGCCACACCGATAGAAGTGCTATGTGAAAGTTTCCCAGGTTTGTGCCACCAGTTCATTAGCAATCGTAATCGTCTTCATTTTTTTATTTGCCATTAGATGAGCAACATAGTATATTGTCTCTCTCATGTATTGTAACTCGATTGAATGATATATATATATATATATATATATATATATATATATATATATATATATATAATTTTTTTATTTTTTTTTTTACTATAGTATAATATACAGTTGAGGTCAGAATTATTAGCCCACAGTATATTTTTCCCTTCAATATCTGTTACATAATGTTCTAAACATAAGTTTTAAAACATAAGACTTTTAATAGCTAATTTTTTAATAACAGTTTTATTTTATGATAACAGTACTAGGGATGCTTAGATCGATTGGCCAGAGATCTTTATCGGTCAATAATCACATTTCATAAGTCGATCGGTACTCGCTAATTTTCCCGATCTCATGAACCAATCACAATTGTTTGTTTATCAGTTTACACGCCAAGGACATTTAAAAACTGAAATCTTTTTGCATATCAGAATTCTGTGTTTTCAACAATAATATGCAATAATATGCAAGTTTATTAAAACCTGGCTGGTTATTAAAACCTGGCTGGTTTTTGGTTGAAATATTAGGGAGATAAAAAAAAAAAAAAAAAAAAAAAATATATATATATATATATATATATATATATATATATATATATGGACTTAATTACTTTTAGTAAAGAAGTAATGGATTTGTTGGTATACAATTTACCTTCTTATGCATCAAATATGTGCTCCAAACTTCACTGAGACATGTTGAATTTTTCTTCCATCATTTGCATTGTTTCCAAATTACTTTGTTATTGATTTTTCTTGCCAATTTTTTGTATCTGTTTTATCTATTATTTTCTTTAAAGCTGCTTCTGATCATTACATGTCTACACTAAGGCCGTACTCACACTAGGTGCAGTTGCCTCGAACCGGGCCAAAGCACGCTTGTCCCCCCTCACGTCTCCCCCGACGGCCCGCACTCACACCACAAACGGGCCTCGGCACGCTTACGTCATCGATGCTGTGCTGTTCAGTGAGAAGCGCTCTCACTCAGCATCACAGTAGAGATTTCTCTAGTTATAGCGTTTCAGTCATTTGATATGCAGTGACATGCAGTCAAATATTTCACCAAACAATCCTTAGGGATGTGGGGACACGCAGTCAGATATTTCGCCGAACAGATCCGCCACTTTTGGCACTCATAAACAATCATAAAGCTCTCGTACTGCAGAAATGAGGAAGTCTGCTGAAGGCGCGCAGCTGTCGTGCAGTGAGGAGTTTGCGTCTTTAATAAGCTACGGCAGTTTGCGTTCAGTGAACAGTAAGAATGATTAATAAATCCATATGAAACAGTGCCTTAAAAGTCACGTCTCGCTTTCAGTTTCGGGCTTTGGCACGTTTTGCACTCACATACAAGCGTACCGCGCCAAAGCCCAAGTAAATGGGCTCAGGCCCACCTCTTTTAGTATTCAGCTTAAAGTGACATTTAAAGGTTTAACTAGGTTAATTAGGCAAGTTAGGGTAATTAGGCAAATCATTGTATAACAGTGTTTTGTTCTGTAGACAAGATTGGACAATATTATTGCTTAAGGGGGCTAATTATATTGACCGTAAAATGGTTTTATAAAAATTAAAAACTGCTTTTTTCTAACCGAAATAAAACAAATAAGACTTTCTTCAGATAAAAAGAAAATGTTATATGATTATATTATTGCAAGACATTATATTCTCTGTTAGACATCGTTTAGAAAATATTTGGAAAAAAAAATCATAGGAGGGCTAAAAATTTTGACTTCAACTGTATGTCTGATGCATTGCAGCTTGTCTGGATGTTAATGTGTTTTTTTCCTGATGTATAACTTTTCTTAAGATGTGATAATAATGAGACTAAAATGGTGTCTATTTCATTTGTAAGCCCTTGAAATAATCAATAACCTATTTTTTGGTATGTGGAAAAGGCTGTGGAAAATATGTTTTATGGTCAGGCAAAATTGATAATGTGTATGCTGATTTCAAAACTCAGTTATCACATTTGATATTTTGTTTATTCACATACTAGGGTTATTGTTTACCATAAAACTGCTAGAAATACTGGGATAAGACCAAAAGCTCCAACCATCAACTACATCATTACCAAAATTAAACAGTATATTATTAACATAATAGCATATCGCAATATTGTAATATTTTTGTAACATATATTAATGCTTAAAAGCTTAAATATAATATTGAAAAATATCTCTATCACATCTGTATGATAATTTACTTTTAGTAACCTTTTAGTGGAGCTTTGATGCACATCATTATCTTCTCATGGTGAAACAGAAGTTAAACTGCTCTGGTCATGTGACCATTTGCACTAACAATGTTACAGCACATGTTTAATTGAGACACCTTTTTTACACTTTTGATGAAAATGCATTAAAACCCCAGTCTGTAATGCTTTGTGGTAGGGCTGCACAATATAGAAAAAATCGGACATTGCAATATATTATTTTGATACGATATTTATTGCAATATATAAATATGACAGAGCAAAAATAAAAATGTTGGAGTTGAAAATGTGTTGATTGATTGAATAAGAGAAATTATAAATATTGATGTAAAATACTAAAGTTTTTTTGTTGTTGTTGGTTTTTGTACTATCCGAGTGTGAAGTTAAAATGCAGTAGATTATTAAAAAAAAAATAATAATAATGTATGGGGAGTGTAACAATATTCAAGTACAGAAATTATACAATCAAACGTAAAATAACATGGTTGTCATCATTGTATAAATTTTTTTTAAATAATACTTTAAAATATATTCATCTTTTAATGTTTAATAAACAGTCTAATCTTGCAATGTGACTATTGCGATATCGATATTCAAACGATATATTGTTCAGCTCCGTTTTGTAGCTTTATAAATGAGTAGCTGTTGTGACCAGGGGAATTAAATGTTAAAAGTAATGCTGTTTTTGCACACTGCAGAGGAGATGGCCACTTATCTGAGATATGTTCGACGACTGGACTTCTTTGAGAGACCGGATTACGAATACTTAAGGAAGCTCTTCACAGACCTCTTCGACAGGAATGGTTTTGTCTTCGATTTCGAGTACGACTGGGTCGGCAAGCCTCTCGTGAGTATTTGCTTCCTCCTCAGACACTTCCTCAATGCTGTTAAAATGCCATTGTCATGCTGCAGTGGGTTTATTTGTTGGCGTACGAGTTTGTGAGATGTTCTCAATGGTGCGATCATTGTTGTCTTTCACAGCCTACACCTATAGGCCCAATCCCCACAGACACACCCCAGCCTAGCAGAGACAAAGCACAACCGCAGACTAAAAACCAGGTGAGTTGAAGCCACAAATAAAGTACTGCACATGTACATCTTTTAAAAGCAAATAAAAAAGGCTTGGAAGATGACTAGAAAATATCCAAAGAAATGCATTTTATGGCTATTTTCTATACTACCTCCCACATTCCCAAGGAGTCCAAAAGTTTAGTTGCACAGGTAAAAAAAGTTAGGATGCAAAGGCTAATACAGAAATATACACATATTTTTTAAGACCTACGATTGAAGTCAAATTATTAGCCCTCATGAATTATTAGCCCTCCTGAATTTATTAGCCCTCCTGTATATTTATTTTTCCAACTTCTGTTTAAAAGAGAGATTTTCAACACATAATTTCTAATAACTGATTTTTTTTTAAATCTCTGCCATCATGATAGATCATTATATTTTACAAGATATTTTTCAAGATACTAGCATTCAGCTATGGGTATACTCTAGGGTTGTGCTGATAGATGATGCCATCGTCCATCGCCAGTGGCCAACAAACTTCACGATACTTTTTCGGCATCGCGATCCATTGCCCCGCCTCACATTTAAATTGATATATGATCATTTGCATGTCATCTTAATAGCAATAGCAGTCTTTTCATGAGCTGTGTAAATGTTACATATAGCTGCCGCTTGACCAGCTGACAGCATCATGAGGATTAAATGAAGGATTATACATTACCTCTCGCACTTAAAGTGTGTAGATTCAGTGGTAAGCGCTGTTACCTGCAAACCCCGTCCCACAGACTTTACAGTGAATGGCTTTAGTCATTTTCATTGCAGACTTGAAACCACTGGAAGTCTTTTATCCATTCTTGGAAAAGTGTAGATGGTGGATTAACATTCAGCACATGATCACTAATAAGATGTGCCATTATTAGTAACTGTGGGTAAGTCTGTCAGTGTTATTTTCATTCTCTTCAGCGCTTTCCATCTGTTCCGGAGTGCTGCGTTTGGCGTTTTTAGGTGCAAAGATGCATTCTGCATAAATGTCTCCTAAATCCGCGCACGCAGTGAGGATTTTGCAGTGAAAACAATGAATATGTTTGCACTAAAGTGAACTCCAATTGAACTCTCGTCTCCTCCACCAGCTGTGGGAAAAACCATTAGAACAACATAGATCACTGTGCCTATTCATGCCAGAGTCCCACAGAAAAAAGGTGATTGACAGGTGGTCATTTGTTTGTAAATTTATTTATTTATGGTATGGTTATGGGTGAAGCAAAGACCATGTGGGTCAGGTAGTGAAAACAGCAGGCTACAATTAATTAATTCGTTATGAATAAATTGATATTTAACAACCACCCCCACTCCCCGCCTACGACGACGATGGCATCGTCTATTGCGATGTTTCACATTAGACATTGTATGATGCCAAATTGGGCAACATCGCCCAACCCTAGTACACTCACACTAGTAACAGTTCCATTGAACCATGCTGGGGTGTGATTGTTCCCCCTCCACTCTCCCTCTCGGCCTGCACTCATACTGTATTTTACCTTCTTAGCCTGAGCATGCCTACGTCATCGATAATTTGACTGTTCAGTTTAACAAGAAGAGAAGTGCTCTCACTCAGTACTATGGCCATTGCTGTAATTATATTGTTTTGTATAATTTTATGCTTTTTGTGATGCGGTGACATACAGTCAAGTCTTTTGCTGGACATATCCACTACTTTTGACGCTCATAATGCTGCATGTAATAGGAGGTTTCCTGAAGATGGAGCAAGGGGTATGCATCTTCGGTAAACTATGACAGTTTGCGTTCACTAAAAAGATGATTAAATCCATATAAAAAGTCGCTTAAAATTGATGTTGGGTCTTTAGTTTTATGCTCGGGCGTGCTTTGCTCTCATACTACAAGTGTACTGCAACAAAGTCCAACTGAACCGTGCTCTGGCACATATCTATAAAACGGACACACACTTGTCAAACGAACCGTGAAATGTGGGTCAAACGCGCCCTAGCATGGTTTTATAGCCTAGTGTGAGTACACCCTTAAAGTGCCATTTAAAGGCTTAACTAGGTGAATTAGGTTAACTTTGTAAGTTAGAGTAATTAAGCAAGTCATTTTATAACAATAGTTTGTTCTGTAGCCCAACCTTTCTTTTCCCTGAGACCCTTTTTTCCCTGGGAACATATTGTAAGCCCCCCCATAACATTTAATTATAGCTCATTTAAGTTGCAGTAAGGATGACAAAAAAAACTAACTTTGTATATTACTATTGCTAGATATGTTCATGCACAAATAATAGTCTAATGTAAAATATAAAAGCAAAACATCAGTAGGCCATTTGTAACTGAAAAACCTAATTGGCCTTATATTAGTTGTCAATTATTTACCAGGGGATAAAATGAACTAAGGCAACGTGATCATTCTTCTTATTGTACACTGCTAAAAATGTTAAAAAATATGACATATCCCCCCACGGAACTCGCTGAAGCCCTCTTGTGGGCCGGGACCCCCCTATTGGGAACTGCTGCTGCAACCAGTCACAATAAAATGATTAATAATTTTGACCTTAAAAAAAAAAAAAAAAAAAAACTGCTCTTTTTCTAGGTGAAATAAAACAAACAATCTTTATCCAGTGAAAAAATATTATAGGAAATGCTGTGAAAAATTCTTTGCTCTGTTAAACATCATCTGGGAAATATTTGAAAAAGAACAAAAATTTCAGAGAAGGGCTAATAATTCTGACTTCAACTGTATATGCCTTCAGTCAGTTGAGTGACAGGTTTCTGATTTTGCTTGTGTTAATATTTGCTTATTTCCCGAAAATTAATTTTATATTCCTGTAGTTTGCCTTTTATGTTATAGGTTATTCTTTCCACTGCCATACAGCATGTCAAATCTTACATCCAATGATCAGTTGATGGACCGTCTATATTCTTATAAAATGCTACTAAAGGTTTTGGAACAACTTGACAAATGTCGTTCATTTTAAGCTGGTTAGCTGATGATAGCTGATGAATTAAATCGAGAACAATCATTTCTGGGGGCATCGGAATTGGAAATTAATGTCGCTTTTTCTGCACATCTTGATATATGTAGTGTCATCATTTGCTTCTGAACAGAGTTCAAACTATGTCTTATTTACTCAGATTACTTTTAATGAAATTAACTCTAGGTGTAAACTCTGTCCTCTTTTCCTTCTTTGGACCAATCAGAAAAGGCTCTGCTGCTTTTGGCTGAGGAGTTGTCAGAGGAGTTGCTCAAGTTTTGTATGATGTTACTGTTGTGCAATGCAGTCTCTGAACATCATTCGTGTGATTAATTAGTGGATTGGAAAGCTGGTTAGTTGGGCCTTGCTTGGTGTAAACAAATCTGTTTTAGTGGCCAGTTGCTTGGAGACAATGTTCCCTGCTGCTCAACTAAAATGCTTTCGGTTCAGCTGCGGTATCTGCGCTGTCTTCACTTTCCGTGGAGCATGAAAGTTCTGGATGGAGATGCTGAAAGTCCTTCACTTTAAAGATTTTGCCGTTGTTAACAAAGAGGAAATGCCTGGATTTTTTTGCACCCAAATTGGTTTGGTCTTGGTTAAAAAAATAAGCTTTTGAAAAGCATTTTGTTCCTACAATGATTACATCAGAATTACCAAATTAATTACAGTAGTATTTTTAAATTAATTACAGTAGTATTATTAAATTAATTACACTAGTATTATTAAATTAATTACAGTAGTATTATTAAATTAATCACAGTAGTATTATTAAATTAATTACAGTAGTATTAGTTTATTTTTAACATTTATTTATTGTCAGTATTTTTAGCATTACCTTTCCAGTCTTTCATCCCATATTATCCACCAGAATTGATTCTAATATGCTAATTTGACACTCAAGAAACATTTCTTATTATCATCTGAATAATGAAAATTGTTGTTTTGCAGATGTGTTTGTGGGAACTGTAATTTTTTTTTTTTTTTTTTTTGATGAACTTAAAGTAAAATATATAATAAAAAAGTAGAAACACCAATATAAACATATTGTAAAATGATAAGTGCCTTTATCACATTTAATTAATTTAATGCATCTTTGACCTTGAGTGGTAATTTATTAATAAACAAATAAACAAAATTAAACAATTAAAAAAAAACATTTTAACAGTTAATCAATTAATTAATTAATTATTTTCGGCTTAGTCCCTTTATTAAACAGGGGTCACCACAGCGACACCATCTCTGGGAAACATCCATACACACTTATTCACAATCATACACTACAGAACATTATCATACCCAATTTGCCTGCAGTGCATGTTTTTGGACATGTGGGGGAAACCGGAGCACCTGGAGGCACACGCCAACATGGGGAGAACATGCAAACTCTACACAGAAACGCTAACTGACCCAGCCGGGGCTCGAACCAGCGACCTTCTTGCTGTGAGGCGATTGTGCTATCCACTGCGCCACCATGCAGCCCACAGTTTAATTCTTAGTTATTAAAATCAAATAAGTTTCTTTACAGGCTTTCATGAGGGCCGTGACACCAAGCAAGTGGTCAGGCTTTGATTAATGCTGTCAGTGAGTGTCTTTCGGGTTAGTTTCTGTTCAGGAAGGTAAGAGTTTACCATTTAAAATGCGGAAGCACCATCAGTGAAAGTAGTACAACAAACAACATAGTCAGTGCTCAAGAATAAAAAAACAAAACGAGTAAAGTGTGCAAAGAATTCAAGATGGCACAAACAGAAGGTTGGTCTGATGTTATGTCATTTTGAGTATTTTAATCAAGACAGCAAGAGCTTCATGAACTGGAGAAATGGAGGAGATATAAAATATTTAGCAAATGCTGCTTTGTCTGAGTTTGAACTATATAGACTCCTGATACTCTTGTGTGTTCAAGCACAGCTTTTTGGCCACAGTGGACGCGAGGCAGCATAGTAGGATTTGGTCACAGCTAGCTCTTTGACGTCATCTCGTTGTGTCACAGCCTTTAAGCAACTTACACAATGGCACATGCACCATTTTCCTGGTCACTCATCCATGTTCCAGTGCAATCTCTAAATAGCCTGAATGTGTCCTCATTCCTAATATACTTGAACTAACAAACAGAAAGTGCTCTTTAGAAATCTTCACTGCAAGTTTTGACTTAATTTTTGCTTCATTAAAACGTTAAATGTATCAAATGTGTCCTGATGTCCATCTACTAATATACAGTTGCAATTGTCTTGGTTTATTAAAACCGTTCATGCTCCGCCTCTAAAATGCCAATGTAACCCCTGACAAATTTCCATTTATTTGATGCCACATGAGAATAAAATGTTCAGTGTACATGTATGTGTCTCTCTGCTAGTGCTCATGTCTTAATGTTTAATGGTAGTGTCCATGTCATAATTTGTAAGAATTGGGGCTGTGCGATATATAAACAATATATATCAATATATATCGAACAAATAACGTGATGTCAGCTGGCATGCTAAATAACACAATATTCAACATCTGATATGATTTTTTTTTTGTTTAATTTAATGTTACAACCAACATAGTTATTTAAAGGAAACGAAAGTAGCAACAAGGCAAAGATTTTCAGTTATACCGTTCCTACTATATATATATATATATATATATATATATATATATATATATATATATATATATATATATATATATATATTACAAAATACATATTCACATAAATACATTAATATATTTACGTTTGTTTTTTCCATGTTAAGACTATTTAATTAATTTTATTAGGGGAAAACTATCTCCAGAATTAAACTGTGTTTTTAAATCTAATGAAGACAGCAGAAGTCAACAATGATTTATTTAATTATTTTGCCTGAAATTTGATTGACATTTTAAATGTTTCTTAAGATATATATATATATATATATATATATATATGTTGTATACTATTTTTAAGGTGGAAACGTAATTTCTTTTACAGAGGAAAAGGTTATTTTTTACCCAGACATTTTAAAGAACATACTTTAGAGCTGTAATCACAATACTGTGATACAGCGATATTTGTCAAAGGTAATCATACTATCAAAATCTTATACCAGCCTATGCCTAGTAGCAACTACAACTTCTCAAAGTAGATGGCCAGAATATACTGTTGCAGTAAACAAATCAAAAGTTTTTAAAATTGAAAATCACCATCGTTTTGCTGCCCGTCCTTAGATTTATTTTATTCATGTATTCATTTTTTTAATAACCAATGAATCTACCAAAACCTACTATTTAATCAAAAAATGCAACAGAGCAGTAAAAAGTGTATAAAAGTCGATCTCGCACACGCATATATACATGAACGCATAAAGGAGCACATACAGTATATGTATTGCAATAAACTTTATTGCGTTCAACTCAATTTGCAGCTAATGCACTATATATTGAACTCAAACAATGCAATTTATTATTTCACAAGAAAATACTTGTACATAATAATATAATAACAGGATAAAATAAAAACAAGTTGGATATTGTTAAATTAAAATAAATATAACTAGCAAATCAATGTTATACAGACAGAAAGTGATTTTTTTTTTTTTGCTTTATTACTTTTTTTAACAGGAACAAGAATAAACATTGGCTCGCTCTGTAGTCATACAAAAGGCAATATAAAGGAAAACCAAAAAGAAAAAATAACAAAAAAAAAAATCAAGTTCTGAAATGAGGGGGTAAAGGTGATTTCCAATTGTTAAGCACTAGTCTTTTAGCCACTACCATGCCTTGCATTAAAGATTCTCTAATAATTTTTTTTTTAACTGAAGTGTCGATTACTACAATTTTAATCAATTATTATTAATATTATTGTAATTGATTAAATCAAATAATATATGTTGCAGCCCTAAAAGTTTTATAGACCTGAAACTTGTTCGAAACTTGTTGTCTGACTTCTTTCACAACATGGCCTGATTGTTTGGTTCTGTTTCAGGATTCGCATTAAAATTGTAAAATTGAAGAGACTTTTGTTTGGAAAACCAGCTTGTCCACTCTGCTTGGTTTTAGAGAGGTGCGATGCCGTGTAACTGCATTTCCTCCTGTGCTTCAAGCTTTACAGAGGATGTCTTAATGAAGTCACACAAACATACTTTTGTCACTCATTTATTCCAAACCATTGCGATATATACCGTATACTGTGATTTCCACATTTGTGATATTTCGATAGTTTTAATTTACTGCACAGCCCTAATAGGAAATCACTTTGATTTCTTAAAAGCTGCTTTTGGTAATTCTGCATGTTTGCAAAATAGTAAAATTCCCCCCTCATACTGTTTTGTCTTTATTTTAAATCTGTTTGTCCTTTAGTAATTGAGCAAGCTTCTGCATGTCAAGTGTCTACGTTTTAATGTTTTATTTTTTTGTTTGTTCACTCACCCACCGGCCTTTTCTTATCACTCCTCTAAATCTCCATCCCCGTCCCACTCTTCACACTTTTCTCCCCCCAAAAAAATGCTCTTCCGCTGTCGATCAGTCACCCGAGCCCAAACGAAGCGAGTCTCAGCCCACTCCGGTGACCAATAGGGAGACTCTGGGGTCTCAGGTGACGGCCGAGAGGCTCGGGGGCTCCGTTCAGGTACTGCTTGCTTGAGCGTGATGTGGCTTTTTTGAGTGAGCGTGGCTGCTTCTCTATCTGTCTTTTGTGCTAGTATTTATCAGTTTGGCTTGCAGATGGCAGCACTGTCATTCTTGGAGATACCCTGTGTTTTAAATAGAAGCCATCAAGCAGTTTAGTTGAGCTGTTCATGGTGTGATGGGATCTAATGGATGCTGGTACATTTGAAACTCTTTGTGGTGCGTTTGGACTTGGTGAAACGTAGATGCCACCTAGTGTTGGCTTTCGGAATGCTATCCCATGGCATAAATAAATACAGGTCTGATGGTTTGTCAATTACAGTGTTGGGTAAGTTACTTTAAAAAGTAATTGAATACTAGTTACACTTATTATTATTGTATTTAAATTATTTATGTATTTATTATTTGAATATTTTATTCCTTGTATAAGTCACTTATTGTTATGTAATAAGTGCTACTGAAAATCCTTACAAATCTCAATGCATAGACTAGTGGTACCCTAAGTGGGGGTCGCAAAACAATGTTGGGGGGTTGCTTGGTGATTTCCAAAAATATCACGTTATTATCGATTAGAATAACATATTTTATCCATAAGCTGCAGAAAAAAAATTGTATTTAATAGTTACATAAAATAACAACATGCAAATAAAAAGCCATTAGCATTTTACTTCTTTTTCTGATTGCGACCCCTGGGGTTATTACGCTAGTTTAAAGACACTGCAATAGTGTTAGTTGCAGCAGATTAATTTTATGACACAATGTTAAATTTTGACACCTTTACTGCATTCAGGTACATTAAAAATAAAGGCCTCGAATGAACATAGAGGACGATCTCCAAGTGACGGTCTCCAAAATTAAACCAGTAATAGTCTTGTGTTGTAAACATTGTACTCATAATTTTCATTAAGTGAGGTTAATATTCAATTAAACAAATGGATAATGACTGAAAGAAATACTTATTTGTTAAACTGTTGCACTTTATTGTGTGACAAGTAAACTTGTTATTTCCTATTGATGTGTGTGCACTGTTGTGTGCAATGTTCGTAATTTTATAACTACTTACAAGGATAGTGGGGGTCGAGAGTTACTGGAATTGTTATTTTGGGATTCACGAGCTGGATAGTTTTGAAACCTCTGACATAAACAACAGACAATATTTTAATTTCTTAAATTTGAGTCAAAGATGGCTTTGTACATATTGTTGACATATTGTTGTAATACTTAACTGATTCATGGTTTCTCAAAAAAAATCAAGTTATATAAATTGAGTTATACAAAGTGTCTTAATAATATATTAAAAACTAAATAAATAGATAAAAATCCTGATAGACATTTAGTTTAAAAATAGTATTATTCTGCAAAATACATCTGTATAACAAAATGAATTACTCTCTAAATTTATTTATATAAGTTGTTATATTTACACTATTTAAGGCAAGAACTTTTATAAGTAACTGTAATTTAGTTACCTAAAAATGAAAAGTAAGCCCTTACTTGACTTTTTAGTAATTTAATTTCAGTAACTAATTACACCCAACTCTGGTCACCTCATTTTAAAATAAAAGAATTGTATGCATATGATCATTCTCAGAACAGGGTTATTGTGGTTAACTTATAACTTAATGATTTTTATTTTCAGTTTTTCTTTTTAATTTAGCTGATGTAGTTGTTGCAGAAATGTTATTTATTTAATTTTATTGCACTAGCCAATTTTTGGATATTCTAGTGTTACTGTTTTCTACAGCTGTTTTCATTTTTAATGCAGGCTTGTAAAGGATTAAAGTATAAGCTATGTGTCTGAATTATTTAAAATGAAAGATTGGCTTCATGAAAATGTATTATTCCTAGTTGTGTACTGCTAAATTTTTCAGAAGTTATTTATTGTAATATCACATAATAAACATTATTACAATTTGAAATAAATGTTTTCCATTTTAACATAGCTTAAAAAGTAAATTATTCCTGTGATGGGTCGAAATGAATTATCCCTAGTCAATAATTATCTTTATTGTCAAATGATTCTTTAGAAATCAGTCTTTAATGCTGATTTGGTGTTAAAAAAAATCTAAATGTGCTGCTTATCAATGCTTGTATTTTTGCGTACTTAAATGCTGTTCGATCATTTCATAGAAATGATTTTGTAATGGTGATGTCTTTGCTGATATTTTTGATCAACATTAATTATAATAATGATAGTAATAATTTATTTTCTTTTCATCTTGTTTATCCTAAACTTTTCAACAGTAGTATAGAATTGTTTTTTCTTTTTTTTCTTTTAGATTGTTAATAGTTGCCAATATTAGTTATAATAATAATAATAATAATAATAATAATAGTAATAATTTATTTTATTTTCATGTTGTTTATCCTAAACTTTTCAACAGTAAGTATAGAATTGTTTTTTTTTTTGTTCTTTTAGATTGTTAATAGTTGCTCAAGGAACAATAGTTTACGTAGGTGTTTACATAGGTCTGAATTTAATGTTTGTCCTATGTTTCTGAGTCTTGCCATTGTCACATGTTTTCTGACAAACAAATGACTCATTAAAGACTAATTAAAATGATCACTCATCTTCCTATATAGTCATAGGCTTGTGATAGGCCTATAAGTAGAAAACAGGATTTCCATAAATAAATTTCTTCATAAAACAACTTACGAATGATGGATTATTCAGATAAACATTTAATAAGGCCTGCGTAATGGTATGATTTTTAAACATCATTACATTATATGTAATGATGTTTAAAATGATAATGATACTATACACGGTGTTTATATGGTCTCTCTGTGTGATCCTAAGGTCATGAGCTCCACAAACGGAGAGCTGAACACAGATGACCCGACTGCAGGACACTCCAACGCCCCCATCACTGCACCTGCTGAGGTAGAGGTGGCAGACGACACAAAGTAAGTGCTACAACACTGGACGTTCAAGCAATCACGATACTAGTACTGTCATTTTAAAAACCAAGCCTAAAAATACACACAACACACACATATATGAGCAATATCACACAAGTAGCACTACGGTATGGCATTATATCAGCACTGGTGGGCTACTACGGCACTCTTCTGATATGTATTTTATGTAGTCCAACAACTGCAGTATTTGTCAGTTTAGTGAGTTTAGTTCTCTTCTTGGCACTCGATTTGGGTGGAGTGATAAACAACTAGGTGGCTGGAATAGTGCTGATACTGGCAGCTATTATATACACTTCCTGACAAAGGTCTTGTCACCTATCCAAGTTCTTGAAACAACAAATAATAACTTGACTTCTAGTTGATCATTTGGTATTAGAGTGCTTTATATGAAAGGCAAAGAACTCTATCACGTTTATTTTACCAAAAAAAAATATGATCATGCTTTTATTTTTAATTATTTAATTTACAGTAAGATCTGACTTTGCTTAGACAAAAGTCCTTTCACTTAACAGAAATAATGAACAGTATAGAATATAAAGTCATGCTGCAGTGGAAAAAGACTTAATGTGTATGACTCACTTGAGCTTGGACGACTTTATCCATACTTTGAACTTTGATGTGGATGCTGAAGTATGAGGAGCGCTATCCCGCTGAAGAATTTGCCCTCTCCTGTGGTTTGTAATGTAATGGGCAGAAAAAAATGTCTTGATACCTCAGGCTGTTGAAGTTGCCATCCACTCTGCAGATCTCTCGAAAGCCCCCATACTAAATGTAACCCCAAACTTAAACTAATTTCTGTAGGAATCTTGGGTCCATACGGTTTCCAATAGGTCTTCTGCAGTATTTGTGATGATAGGGATTGAGTTCTTTTCCAATTGATCAACTAGAAGTCAAGTTATTATTTGTTGATTTTATAACTTGGATCAACAACAAGACTTTTGTCAGGTAGTGTATTGGTATCAGCCAAATCAGAATTGAGACCCAGACAGAACTGTTATATAAATATATGTAGTCAATCACAAATTTATTCATACCCCTGGACGCTTCTCATTTGATGTGCTTGAGCTCAAACACACAAAAAAAAATATGTATTTAATATAAACATTTCAACTGTAAATGGCAAATACAGGAGTATTTCGGTAATACTATAATCATACTCGTATATAAACACTGATGTTTTATTCTGTTGAAATTAATATTATGTAGTTAAAAGTGTTTATATTGACCTTATTCTTAAATGCAGAAGTGCGCACGTTTTTGCAATTGTTTTAGAACTTACGATTCAGTCACCTATGGGACAAATGACTAGGAATAATAAACATCAGAAAACAGTCAAACTACTTTCTCTACAAACAAGTATGTTCATGACTAGAAAAGTAGAAAATAATACATTAAATGTAGAATAATATAATAGGAAAATAGGGAAAGGAAAATAATAGTAAAAATGTTAGTTTGCTATTTAAGCAGCATAACAAGCTGTTTTTTACGTCTAAAATTCAATGGAGGTGAATGAGACCAGAAGTCTCGAGCCAAATAGATTCCGATGGCTGCTCCCATGCATACTTGAAGAATAAGGTCAATACAGATGTACAGAGAATCATGCATCATATCAGTTGCTGACATTATATTAAGATTATATATATCATCCCCCTTATGTTGGTGGAGATGAATCATAAATGAATCACACTCATCTGCAGAATGCCATCTTCACCCTCAGTGGTTGTCGCCTTACATTTGCATAAATATTTCACAATCTCAGATAGTCCATTTTTTTCTATTGCTGAAGCTCATCAACTTTAATTGAAAACGAATTTCTTCTGTTCATTTTGCTGCTGCAAATTGCCGTATGAATGTCCCTTCACTGATTTAATGTTCCTCGTTGTGCCTCAGCGCTCTTCAATTTATAACCTAATTTCACTCATCAAGACTTTTGTGTTTAGTTTTTATGTCTGAAGTAAATTTTCCTCTGTATTTACTTTCAGGTGCTGTTGTTTTTTTAAGCGGAGAAAGAGGAAAGCTCTTCAGAGGCACAAGTGAAGCGCTCGTGGAAAAGAACTTGAAACATTCTGGTCACTGTTAAGTTTAAAATGCAAGCAAATACACAAATCTCTCTCTCTTTCTGTCTTTCTCTATATCTCTCTCTCTCTCTCTTTTCCCATCACACTTTCTTTCATAGATGCTTCACCACTTATTGGAGTGCAAAGGAATGTTGTTGACTGTCCAACAGACTCTGGTTCCTTCCTTAAAAAAAAAAAAAAGAAGAAATGAAGATACATAAGATGTGTAAAAATCAAATCACACATAAACGCTCAAAAAGAATGAGATGATACAAGAGTGATTAATGATACAAGACCACAGTGGTGTGAACTGAAAAAAGAGGCTGTTTGAAACAGCTGATATGTTTCTAGATTCCATGCAGAGTGTTTATTGTTCATTGATCAGGGGACAAAATATCAGTGAGCGGATGATTTAAGTTTTCTTAGAAATAGTTCTTATTTGTGGCAAAAAACATGAGGGCAGGAGTCGCCTCTGCACTGGGAAAGAGTCACCAAATTACAAAATAACAGGACGCATTTCATCTCAACCAGACTCTGGAGTCTTTTTTTTCCCCCCACTGTAATTATTATAATTTTTTTTAATGATTTACAGGAATCCTTCAGTTGTAAAGCAGTTGTAGTGTCCTGGAAATGCTTTATTTCTGTCCTTTATTTTTGTCTTGTTTTTTTTCTTCATATAAATTCTTCCATTTTTTTTTTTCTTCTGTCATTGTGGACTCTGTAGCACAGTTACTGGCCTCAGGTACTGTGGGGGACGGAGATACAAATGGATATTATTCTCTTGTCATTGTTGTTATTGCACTTTTGGAAAAAAAAAGAAGACAACAACCGTGGGCTTGAATTAAAATGATGAGATAAATGTCAGACTATATGAACTGATGTGGGAGAGCTCCCGCAACAGGGCTGATATCTGTTCAAGGACCGTTAAAAAAAAGAAGAAATGTACTTCAGTTTTATTTCTCACATCAAAATTTATTTACCAGGAAATCATAGTTTGTGCCTTTCCAAGTAAAATGTTTAAAATTTAAGCAAGTCTCCTGCACTGACTTTTTATTTTTTGCATTGTTTTTTTTATGTATGCAAGTGGCATAATAATTATGGGTGTTGTTTTGTATGACTCCATTATTTTCACCCCTAATTTATCAAATGAATGTTCTGAATCTGGCTGATGGCTTATAAATGGACAATTCTAAGTTTCATTAATAGTTTAAAATATTTTGTGTAGTATGTATATTTTGTTATTGTTGAAATAATGTAATATCACTAGCTGGGTTTCCATCTTAACATAAAGCAGTTTGCATAAAAACAAACATGACATAGGTTTCCATGAGTTTAGGGCCATTTCACACCAAGCACAATAACATAGATATAAAAATAAAATAAATTTGTGTCACTTTTCAAACGATAATGATCAGCAATGATCACTTGTCATTACGCCCGTGTGACCAACAAATGTCCTCAGTGAGTTGTTAGTGCATCTGACCAGTGAATCCAGCTCGTGTAGTCAATCTAATCAATCAGTGACTTTTTGTCACCACTAACAAATTTCTAACTTTTTCGACTTTTAAAGAAGGCAAAACAAAATTGTCGAAAGGGCAAAGGATACATTGGGTACTTTTTTATATTTTTACTATATTTGTACTATATTTTTATTATATTACTATTTGTATTATTTTATTAGCTAAAAAAGTTGTTTCTCTATATCTTTTTTCTTATAGCTGTGGTTTGAACTGTTGTTTTACAATCATAATGATTGTATTTTATTTTTAGAACTTAGAATTTAGAATTTTTAGAACAACACTTTTATTGTTTTCTTTATAATTTACCATGAATGGTGTGAACGGGCCTTTTGGAGCATCTAGCTGTAGTATTGGTAACCTAGTAACCAACAGTAAACAAGGCGAGCATATTAGAAACAGCCGATTAGTCATGTGGGTGTAATGTTTCCTACATCAGATTTACTACATCAGGTGTGATTTTTTTTTTTTTTTTTTTTACAATTGTGCTTCCATCTCCTATTATTTGCATTAACATTTTTTGCACAAGTCCAAAACCACCTCAAGCAAAGCATTAAGTTTTTGCAAATGAAGAGATTTTTATTCAAACATTGCCATTCTCACCACTTATTTCTCATGCAATGCTTCAAATTGTGCATTACCACAGGGGTTGTATCTGAAATGGCACCCATAGTCTTAAATAGCGCACTTTGAGAGAGCAGACATTTGTGGTGTTCAAAACCATAATGGACATTCTGAAGTGCGCTCAATCAAACCTACCATGCACAGCAATAATGAATGTACAACTGCTGCTAGAGAATATCCTTAATGCATTGTAATAGTTTGCATGGCAAATGAATTCCCGCATCTGACCACAAGATGGCAAACTGTTATTATTTTTGTTTGTGTACATGACCGAAATCAAAATACTTTATTACCAATTGACAGCTAAATGTTAAATAATTATCACAGGGTTTGACCAGCTGATATCTGACTGAGGGATTTATCGATCAGCAAAGCACTAAATGGAATCTCTTATTGTGCTCAAATTCACTGACTAGTTTTCATTCATTCCTTTGAATGCATTATATTAGTGGACTAATGTAGAGAATAGTGAACGATTGTATAGAGGTAATTTCGGATTCTGCCATGGTGATGGAAACCCAGCTACTGCTACTTTATTAATTGCACCTGATAAAATGTAACACAAATATTTAATATCCAATCACATGACAGAAAATCATTGCAATTAGGCATGTTGAAGTGAACTAAGACGATCTGCTGAAGTTCAAAATGAGCATCAGAATGGGGAATAAAGTTTATGTAAGTGACTTTCAACATGGTTGATGGTACCAGACAGGCCGGTCTGGGTTTTTCAGAAATGTCTTGTATACTGGTATCTTAACACTTGCGACCATCTTTAGGGTTTTGCGGAGAGTGGTCCAAAAATAAGACAATATCCATTGAGCAGCTGTTCTGTGGGTGAAAAAGCCACGTTGATGCCGGAGGTCATAGAAGATTGAACAGATTGACTCAAAGACAGAATTTTAAATAACAGGAACTTAAAAAAACACTCGTTGTAAGCATTGTCTGCAGAAGAGCATCTCTGAGAGCACAAATTGACAGCAGATAAGCTTCAGCAGAAGAACTACGTTTAAATTAATAAGAATTAGCACCTTAATCAAAAAGTTAGAGATGAGTTTTTGAATGTAACAGCTTCTTTTGTGACACTCCTGTCAGATGAGGTCTGGAACCTGAGGCTGCAGTTTACAGAGCCTCACTCAAATTTGTCAATGGAAGATTGAAAAAGGGTTTCCTGCTCTGATGAGATTCGATTTCTTCAACAACATTGATGTGGAAGCAACATGAAAGCATTGATCTGTCCTGTCTTGTGTAAGCTGCTCAGGATAAAAGTGTTTTGTTTTGTTTTTTCTGGACATATTCTGGGCATCTCCATACAAAATTTGCATTGTTTAAACAGCACAACCTGCTTGATCATTGTTGATTACCAATGTCCACACAGTGACCACAATGTGATGCTACTTCCAGCAGGATAGCACCCTGTGTCACTAAGCTCAAATCATCTTAAACTGGTTTCCTGACAATTCGTTCTTTATATTCAAATACCCTCCAGTCACCAGACTCTAGAGCGATACAGTTCACCCAAAAAATGAAAGTTGCCTCATCATTTATTTTTCCTCATGAGGTTTTAAGCCTTTACAAATTTCTTTCTTCTGTTAAACACAAAAGCAAATCATTTGAAGAATGTTGGTTCTGTGACCCATCAACTTCAATAGAAAAGAAATTACCAAAGAAATCAATGGGTAACTCGTTTCTTCAAAGAGGAAGAAGAAAGAAACTTAAATAGAATTTGAACAAGTGAATGGGTGAATAAATGACAGAAATGTAATTGTTGGGTGAACTACTTTTAAATGCAACATCTAACATTATTATTTTATGATGAATGAGCTATGGACATGTCTGTCATATTAATGTCATTTAGTCATATCAGACATCTGTGAGTGTATTAGATGTTAACAAAAGGTTAACAAAAATGAACTGTTATTTAGTAATACCAGGTGTAGTCATTTATATATAGTGTAACATCTGGCAAAAATATTTAGAAATGTCTTTTATAAAATACTCATTTCCCAATCAGATAATTAAGTTTCTAGTTCTTTATCTTAATTAGATTTACTTTGTTAGTTTTGATCCATGCATATTTATGGTGCCAAACAGAAGTCATATTATTGCTAAAATGTTTGTGTGGTCTGTTATACGAGTCTTTACAAAAAATGTGATCATAGTTTCAGCAGTCTCAGAATTAAAGATACAAATGCTGCCATTATGGTAGTGCCTTTTCAGAAGGTACACTTTACACACACACACACACACACACACACACACACACACACACACACACACACACACAAAATCACCCAGTACTTTATCCAAGTGAAAATTTATCTTTATTTCAGTTTAATATTATAGTTTAACAACAATAACTATTTGTTTTATTTTTCAAGTAATATTTTAAGTTCAAAACATAATTAAATATAAATGTTTTTAATTTAGAGATCAACTAAGAAATATTTGTTTTGACCAATGTAAAATTTACTGAGGTTACTCACACAGGCTAGCGTGTGCATATTAAACAGAAGCTCAATGTGCTTTGTACTTTCATGGATTTAAAAAAATATTGTTTAAGGCAAATGATTTATTTTTCATTGGCTCAAGTGATCAAATTTAGAGGTGTTTTTGTTTTGATTAAAGCTAAAGTCAGAATTATTTTCCCTCTTTTGAAATTTTTATTCTTTTTTTTAATATATTTCCAAATTATGTTTAACAAAGCAAGGAAATGTTCACAGTATGTCTGATAATATTTTTTCTTCTGGAGAAAGCCTTAGTTGTTTTATTTCGACTAGAATAAAAGCGTTTTTTAAAATTTTTTAAAACCCATATTAAGGTCAAAATTATTAGCCCCATTAAGCAATAAATTTAATTTCGATAGTCTACAGAACAAACCATCGTTATACAATAACTTGCCTAATTACCCTAACCTGCCTAGTTAACCTAATTAACCTAGTTAAGCCTTTAAATGTCACTTTAAGCTGTATAGAAGCATCATAGAAATGAGTTGTTATTATTATGTTTAGAAATGTGTTAAAATCTCTCCATTAAAAAACAAACAGGGGGGCTAATAATTCGGACCTCAACATTTCTTGTTTGGAACAAAAGGAAAATTTAAATTAATTGACTTTCTTCAACAAGACAAATATGTTTTGTACCAAGTTATATAAAATTGTTCCGATGGAGATAGAAAATATTGTTTAGGGCAAATAATGTATTTTTCTATTAGTTCAAATTTTACATTTTTTATTCCAATATCCAGTGTAGATACTAATAACGTAAATGATACTAATATGGAAAAATATTTGCTTCCAGGACTAAAATGTAACAACATTCAAGATATGAGGCAATAAATGCAACCATTATTATATTTCTTTATCTTAATGAAAATGTCCTCACCCTCAAGTAGTTCTAAAGCTTATCCGTCTCTTTCTTCTGTTTCTTTGGGCTTTTGCATCCTTTGTGTTTAAAAGATATATAGATTAAAGACATGTTTGGAATAAGTGGAGGGTGAATAAACCATTTTAATTTTTAGGTAAACGAATTATAATATGAGCAGTGTTGCATTTTTTGCGCTTGAATTTGCTTTTAAATGTATTTCAAAGCTTTGATAGCTTCAGAGCTTTATGTTAAATTCTCACGCTGGTTTCTCAGCACGTGATAGTGTTTTGTTTTGACAGTTAAATGAGACGCTGGCATCTTTTCCTGCTTTAAAAGAGGGCATGTGCTGTCTATGAAAATCATTTAATGGTAACATCCCCTTTTCTCGAGTTATAGCGTGGGTGTCAGACGAAGAAATAAAACCGAAAACGGGCACTGCTGGATGCAGACAATCGCTGACAGGACCCATTTCACTTTTACTTCAGGACTAAAGCATCAATAAGTGCGATTCTGGTGTTCAG